CAGAAAGGGCAGGCTGGAGCTCTCTGGCATGAGCTGAAGCTGCTATTCACGGGTAGAACTTCTTTCCAGAATCTCTGCTCTGTTCTTATGGTCTTCTGATCAATCGAATCAGACCTACCCAGATTTTCTAGCACAACGTTCTTCACTTAAGGCCAACTGTTGATGAACAGTCATCATATCTACAACATATACCTTCACAGAAACACCTAGATTTGTGTTTTGTTGGATGGCCGAGGACTGCATCCTAGCCAAACTGACACGTGGAAATGGCCATGACGGTCTACCATTGTAAACTTGGTACCATTACATGGCTACTTAAATCATATTTAATGTCCACATAAAGACATGGCAAAGTCCTACTTCCTCCTAATGCTGTCAATATGGTGTGTACAGCTGAAAACCCATGAACCCCCTTTCTAGAAGAGAATGTAAAGTTCTTACATGGTGTTCATTCTGTTCCTTTGATTTCTTGTAATGTACTATTTTTTAAAGAATTATTTATTATCATAATTAATTGTTTAATTTGACTAAAGAGAGACAGACAGAGAGAAGGGTAAAGTAAGAAAGCAAGCCTCCAGGTCCAGGGCTCAAATCATGGTTGGCCATGCAGGAATCCAGTGCTGTACCCACCACACCACCTGCCGGCCCTGTAATGTACTATTAAAGGTATAAAGTTAAAGATTATTAACACATCTTATGTGTTAATTGTCAAATGACTTAAGAGAGGAGGGAAATGAAACATATTTATTTATTTATAGAATAATCAAAACAAAATAAGGAATAAATGATCATAACTATTAAAATCCTTGTTCTGCAACTGATCATGTGGTGATGGCTGGTATTTATAACTACCTTCCTCCACCCATTCTATATTGTCTTTGCTCTCAGTATCTTAGCTGTGCTTCTTAGGCTCATTGAGTAACCCAAAACTATTCCTGAAGGGTCTGGACCATTAGAGGTTTTGTCTGAATTGGATTGTTGTAGTTTTCCATTGCCTTTAATCATAGGATATGGTAGTACTAAGAGCTGCCTAAGGTTCTTCCTTATTCTAAATATTATTGTAAAGATTGTGGAGCAGCAGTCCAATTCTTCTATGGCAATCAGTATTAATAACCCTAGTCAGTGCAGTAATTCCCTCCTTGTCTGAATTCTATTCATAAGGACTCTGGGCTGACCTGGCAGCAGACTCAATTTCCAGTTCTCTGGGATCATTGTTATGTCTCCTGGTGGAAGAAGTTCTCCTTTAAAAATGAAGATCTCTTGCCGACCCTATAACCTAGTTGTTAAAGGAGTCTGATCCCACATGGCCTTCCATGGTTTGAGTCCTGGCCCTGGCAGCTTGAAAAATACATTGTGTGTAGGATTCCTATTGGTGGGAGAAATGGAGGAGAAGGAATTGTGGTGTAATCATGCCCCATGGGGAGAGTGCTTTTTCTCTCTCTGTCTCTTTCTCTCTCTCTGGTGAGTACATGCACCTTCTGACTTACAAACAAAACAAAAGAACTAAGACATCTAGATCCACAGAATGTAAGACTGTGGGGACAGAAAGCAAAACTTTTCCTAGTGGGTCACTAGGAGTAATGATGAGTGATGCCACTCCAATGTCCACCTCTTAATTCCTGGAGCCATGAATCCTAGCTATGACAGAAAAAGCACCATGTATTAGATGCTAATTTAGAGGATAGATGACCTCCTGGAGCACACTGTCCTTGACCTGCAAAGTTAGGCATGGAACTGAGTCTACGAAAGGCCATTGCATGGTTCTACCAAGCCGGCAGCTTCAGGATGGTGGAGAGCATAGCAAGACCCAGTGAATTCCATGAGCATGGATGGGTCTGTTGCCTCACTTTATTTGCTGTGGAGTGATTCCTTGATTAGAAGCAATGCTATGCGGGATACCATGATGATAGAAGGTATTTTGCAAGTCCATGGATGGCAGTTTTGGCAGAAGTATTGTATGCAGGGAAGGCAAGTAATATCCAAGTAAGTATTCCAATGAGAAGGAAGTTCTGTCTCTTCAAGGATGAACGTGCCTGATATAATCAGTCTGCCACTGGGCAGCTGCTGATCACCTCAGCGAATGGTGTCACACTGGGAACTTGGTGTTGATCTCTGCTGCTGGCCAGTTGGACATTCAGTAGAGGTTGCCACCAGGTTGGCCTTGGTGAATGGGAATCCATATTGCTGAGCCCATGCGTAACCTCTGTCACTGCCACTGTGGCCCTTGTTCATGAGACCTTTTGGGCAGACCAATAGCTGGAGAAATAGGCTGACTTGTACTTGCAGAATGGGTCATTCTATTTACTTGATTATTAAAATCTACCCCTGCTGGGATCATTGTTATTTGGTGAATATCTACATGGGTCATAAATGTCTTCACATTCTTAGCATATTCATAGAAGTTTATCCATATACTCTTTCTCAGGCCTCCCTGTCTCCAATTTTCCAATCATGTTCTTTGCAACTCCTGGCCATCCAGTCAAACTACTGGCCCCAGCCCATGAATCAGACTCTTACCTTTGGCTATTTCTCCTTCCAAACAAAATGAACAACCAAGTGCACTGCTCACGGGGAGGCTTTCGCTTCATTTCCTGAAGAAAGGGTCCTGGAAGAGGCTATAATACTGCAGGTTTCCACTGTTGGGTGGTGCCTTCATATCATGCAGAATCTGTACACCAAGCTTTTGTAAACTTTCCTGGGCAATTGCGTGGAACTCCCACGAAGCTAATGGACACAGGCTGGGAGACAGAAAGGAAAATAGTGGCAGAGAGGCCATGGATATGTCAACCAGTTCCTCACATAAATTACAGATGACTTTAGGGCTTGCTTGAGCCTGCTCTCTCATATAACACTTCCACTTAATGGTGGAATGCATAGGGCCAGGTGGTACAGTGATAATCCAATGAACCCACAGAGGAAAAGTCCTGGGTTCAAGTCCCAGAACCTCCCGTGAGCATGCTAAGTGCATATGTGTGCCTATGATCTGGGATGACTGGGATGGGGGTGAGTCACAACATGAGGGCCATTGGAGGTACCTGTCTCTGTTTTTCATGGAAGAAATAACACTTCTTTTTTTTAAAAGAAGGGGTGCTGCCAAATACATTCAAATTTAAGTCTTGGTGGTCAGATAACACTCTATTCATGACCGGCAGCTCAGGGCATATGACAAGGGGTGGTCTATGGTTAAATGTACATTTGGTAAATTAGTTTTCTAGAGCTGTTGTGATAAATTAGCACAAACTAGGTTGCTTAAAACAACAGAAGTTATTTTTCTCACAGTTTCAGAAGACAGAAGTCTGAAATCAAAGTGTTGGCAGGACTGGTTTATTCTGGGAACTTTGAGAGAAGATCTTTTCCATCTCTCCTTCTTTAACAAGGTATCTTGGAGATCATTACATACCAATATATGCCATGTGGCCCCATACAATGGCTGTTCCATGATTTCTCTCACCAGGATAACAATTCCATTATTTTAACAAATACCTTTAATTATGTAATTTTTCACATCTCTAGCATAAAAGTTCTGCATATAAAATTGGTATTTAAAGTTTCAGCTTTGGGATATTGTTAAATTGCCCTTTAAGGAGTTTCTAGAAACTTCACAAATGGAGACTCTGATGTCACTTCATAGGCTTCAGACTTGCTCAGACCTGCCTTAGCACCAGGGAAAACACAGTGAGGGCCTTAACTGGGGCCCTGATAGTGGAACCGTGTGTGCGTGCATGGGTACACTGCAGGTTCTCCCATGTACAAAGGTAGGAAGTTCAAAGAAGACTCGTAAGTCAATTAATTAATTACAGTCTTATTTAAAGCTCTAATAAGTGAAAGCATTAGTGGTCTGAATAAAGCTCCTTCGCCTTTATTATTCATTAGGAACTGGCAGTAAATAATAGGCTTGAATTTCACAGTCATGATACCGCTAATCAAAGCACTGAGCATTTCTTAAGATCATAAATTATTATCCTTCACAACAGGCGCATAAGGGGAACTTGGCTTGTGAACTGCAACTGGGACACATGCCTCCGTTTGGGTCTTAGACCGATTCAGATGGAAGAAGGCTGGCAAAAGCATCCAGAACTGTCTTCCAGATGGGGTGAGGCACACCTTCCTTGGAGCCATGTCACACCCACCTGGAGTCACCAAATAAGTAACCCAGCCAGGTTAAACAACACCCCGTTCTCCCTGTTGGCAATGACTTGTGGTGTTCAGCTGGAGAGAGAGTTTGTTTCTCAGCAAGGAGAGGGCTTTGCCTGTGGGGAGGAAGCTACTTTTGCTATGCTCTCTTAGCGAGTTGATGGTGGCTTTGATGGTGTACCCCTACACACCTTATTTCCACCTGGTATGTTGTGTTTCTCTCTCTTCTGCCCCTACAGATGTTGGCTTCTGGGGGTGGGAAGGGAGTCTTCTCTTTCCCTTACCACATTCAAAGGGAGTTCTCACCTTTTCCTTTGACATGGCAGGGGCAGTTAAAAGAGGAGTCCTGGGACCAGCAGTTGGCATGGTGGTTAAGGTGCTGGACACTCCCACATGACTGACCACAGTTCAGGTCCTGGAACTGGCAGCTTGCTTTCTCACGTCTCTCTCTGTCTCTCCCTGTCCCTCTCTAGTCAAATTAAAATAAAAAAATAATTCTAAAAAAAAAAAAAAGAGGAGTCCTTAACTTTTGCCTTTCTTTCTCTCCCCCTTAGTATTTCCTCCCCCTAGTTTCATAGCTCTTTGTGAATTGTCACTTCAAGTGGGCTAATTGGAGGCTGTGCCAATCCGCTTGATGGAGTTTTACCTTCTCTGGAGCACCCTCACCCCCCAGCACAACACCGCTCTCCTCATCCCATCAATGACTTGTGCCAGCCTGGTGGCTGGTTTTGAACCACAGGGCCCCTTCCCCTCCCTTACAGTAGCTCTCAGTGCCTTCCTCATCCACCCAGCACCCAGCACAAGGGCTCAGAATTGCCAATGAGCGAGGGCAGGGAAATCTCTTTAAATGAAGCATTAGCCGACACAAGTATACTTTGTAACAAAATTTTATTAGGATTAAGTCAAATTAGAAAATTTCATGCTTCACCTCTTGCCATGTTTACCTGAAACGACAAGATTATACTTAGTAGAGTATAAAAGAATTTGTGCCCCAGGTTCTACTGTTTGGAAAGCAAAAGAGTTGATGTGCCCAGCAGTGTGCCTGACACCACCAAAGTTAGTGCTGAAGGCCTCACCAGTGCTCAGCAAAGCATACGGTACTTTCAAGCTTTGGGCCTGAGGAGGAGGTTGTTCTCAGAAGCAGACTCCTCACAGCCTGGGCACCTGCGACTGGAGCCTACCTTTTGGAATCTAGTTTTAACACCTGTATTTCAAGAGAAGCTAGGCTTGAGGTATCTTTATGACTTCAAAGGCACAGTTCATGCAGCTCAATTAAAAGCTATTGTGTTGGTCCCTCAGATGTGGCCATAAGCCACGCCTCGGAAGGGGGAGTTCTGATGCTCTGTCTCTGGCTCCTGGTAATCCAGGCACGTCAGCGCTGACCCTTTTACCCTCACTCCTGTGCTGCTCATCTGCTGTGGATGCCGGTGGCAGAGGACAGGCTGGTACCTGTAGTCTCCTGCCATGTAGGGAGCATCATGTGCTGTGGAATCTTATTACCCAGCATCCAGATGGGGCGCTTGATGGAGCCAAGAAGTGACTCAGATGCAAGCCAGGGCAAGAAGGCTCAATTTTCCATAAAACTGGTATGGAGAAAAGAAGCCAGCTTGCCCTGAAAGGGGCCCTTCCAAGCTGGACAGCGGCCCTCCATTGGGTGCAGCTCATACCCAGCTATAAGCAACCTCTTCGCCCAATGGGAGAAGCAGCGCGAAAAGGATGGCAACAAGAACAGGAAGTTCTTGCGCTCGGTGAGAGTTCTACGAGGCCATAAACAATGAGTGCTTATTTGGGCTCCGACATGGCCCTGTGGTTACTTAGGACAAGTGGGAGTCAAGTCTTCAAATGATAAAAACTCTTAATAAATAACGGGATGTTCCCCTGTGCTTAGGAGCAACAGGTTTAAATTTAGAAGCTCTTTTTTTTGTGTGTGGGTGTGTTGTCAAACTCTCCCGAAGGACAGGAGTAAAATCCCGAATCTGAGTGGAGAGCCTGGAGGGCTGCGTATGGAGCAGAAACACCCTGCAGACCTAGCACATCTGTTTATCCTTACAGTATCTAGATTCCTGACTCCCCCTGCCCCACCCAGTACAGTTACAAAAATGGCTGCTGTCAACAAATTAAATCCAGTTGCATAATATAGAGGGATGACAATAAATTCTCATTTCTGCAGGCACCAGAGGATACATGTGACAAGGTTTTGATTCTCTCCAATTTACACTCCTAATACATTTTCCAGCCTCTCCCCTCACGGCCTCATCAGCTTGGCTCATGGTCCTCCGGGAGCCTTACATTACTTATGATTACATCTGCATTCTTCATGCCAATTAATTCAACTGAGATTGACCCGGCGTTTGCTCAAGCTTGAGTTCATAGCCTCCTAGACCGAGGTCTCCATCATAAATGTTTTCCTTGCTTGGAGTCTGAGGTGAAGCTTTCTGGTCCAGACCCAGTCTTGCAGGAGGACTACAGGGTGAGGGGGCTGGCTCCTGGTAATTCATGGCTAGTTCATCCTGGTTTACGATGCATTCCACGTCATCCTCTTTCAGCTGTTCCTGGTTGTAGATAGAGAAAGAGAGAGAGATCACTTCCTGATGAAGACAGAAAATGATAGCGGACATACAGTGAAAGGCAATGTTCATTTTCCTTTTCAATTGCCCTGTCTTGCCTTGGTTAAAGTTTCTGCTTTGGGCATGGTTAGCCATTTCCCTGAGTCATTACTGAAGTCTTGACACACATGGCCATCATGGGCCTCGAGACCCAGGTGCTGACTAGAGTTGACAGGAATTAGGAGTTAGTAGAATCATGTGACCTCGGGGAGGAGGAATGCTCATCCTCCTGGTTTTGTAACATTCGTGGTTATCACAAAATTCTCAAAATGGTTTCTGGCATATTTTACTTTATAAGTGTGTCCTCTCAGCATGTTTCTTGAGATGTGTCACAAGGCCAGGCATACTTGGAAGCCACCATAGTAGATAATGCCCCAAAGGAACTAAACTTGGCCAGTAATAGAATTTACACATAGGTTCCTTGAAGATCTCAACTCTTCTATTGGCTTTGAGAAGGCCACATTAAATACTTGTGGAATCACTACCTTAGGGTAGTGATTACTAACTTTAGCCTGTACCGGATCATGTGGAAGACTTGTGAAAACACAGGCTGTTGGGTGTTGGGCCTAAGGTTTCTGAGGAGGGGCCTGAGATTGTAAATTTCTTTTCTTTTCTTTCTTTCTTTCTTTCTTTCATCCTTTCTTTCTTTCCTTCTTTCTCTCTCTCTGTCTCTCTTTCTTCTTCTTTTTTTTTTTTTTTAGTTTTTTGCCACAGGGCATTTGTGCTCTCCAGAGAGAGGAAAAGTGAGAAATTACCCGCAGGGGGAATGGCCACACCACAGTTCCTTCTCCTCCAGTCTCTTCTCAGGATTTTGAGCATGCACACACATGCAATTCTAACAAGCTTGTAGTGATGCTGAGGCTGTAGGTCTGGAGCCCACATTTTGAGAACCACTGCTTTTGGCTGTTGTGTCCTGAACACACCCAAGACACACTTCCTGTGCTTGTACAAGGGGGCCAGCAGGACAACCTCGAAGAGCAGGACCACCTCGAATGGCTTTTCCAACACTAAGCTTCTGCTTTTCTCCTATTCCCTGGCACTCTGATTTGCTGGTAATGGTTCTAATTGCTTCTCAGCATTTTTCATCCCACTCCCTTGAGCTATAAAGCATAGGCCTAATATTTAAAACCCCCAAACACAGCAGTTTGTGAGGACACATGATTTCTCTTACATTTTCTAAGTTCATTTTATGGTTAAAAAATATTGGAAACAATAAACATTGCATTTTTAAAAGAAGAATAAGCCAACATCAGCAACAACTGCGAAGAGCAATGCTTTTTGGTGCAGTGAATTTTAAAAACGCTCCCTCCTCTCGCTGAGAGTAAGAGCCCTGAGGTTTCTGGGCTCATCAATATTCACCACGCCTGTCCCACGTGGGATATGTACTTACCCCATAGGCCTGAGGGCTGGTGAGCAGCCTGGAAATTGGACCGCACCATTCAGGTAATGTGGTGGTCAGGGGAGGGCCAGAGTGGGTTAAAATGGGTTTCAGGTATCTGGGAGGCTGTTAAGGAATACTTGTCAAGGGGAGTTAGGATTTAGTTCCTCGCACGACACACACCTTCGCATGCTGCAGAAGACAGTCCTGTTCACCTTTAAATCCCTTACTCCCTCATTGAGGAGGCAATTTGGCCTGCAAAAATTGCTGTTCGTAATCTTTGCTCCATACACTTTGCCAACCCCCTGGATGGTCTTTAATCATGAAGACGTGGCCAGAGGACCATGCAGTGCTGAGAGAGGTGTGCGTGTTTCTCTTCCTCCCTCATCCCCCACTCAGTGTCTCATCTTCTTAGAGAGCGCATTCTTAAGTATTACCTTAAACAATAGCATAAAAGATGTTGTTTTCATAAAACCGCACACACCGAGCTTAAACCACCAGTAATTTTCACAAAGAAGCAAGAGGGTTTTATAAAACGTTCAGTCATGTTAGAGTTGGGGAGTGAACATAGATTGTTTTCCAAAATACTTTATTTTTACTATTCAACACAGTCACTTTATACTTCATACATCAATGCATTTCTATACAAAATTATGTAAATTAGCGGGTGCCAGGTTTATGCTATTGTCTAGCACCTGTCTTTCTCATCGCTTCATCCCAAAGTGTTCTAACAAGTTAAAAGAAAAACCTGCTCATCTAAAGCCATTATGTTTCCCTCCAATCTATCAATAATGAAATCCCCAGAGGTTGCCCCAGGTTGTCTTATTATTATTTTTTTGCTCAAAGAAAAGTAGTGGAATTATTTCCCCATTCCATCAGAAATGACTTTTAAGCTTTATATTATTTCCTCTGCTGGAGAATATTTCACCTCATCAACTTTCTGCAGAGCTAGAATAAATAGGGAAAGGGAAAAATGGAAAACAGTTAACACTGGCTGGCTTGTGAAGCTCTGAAGTGCCCTCAGGCACTTGGGGTGTGAGAAGATCTTGGAGATGGGGCTCCTGGAGCCTGTGGGTAGCTGGATGACATCACTCTGTCACTCCACCGTGCCCTGAGCCTGTGGGCACGGAGAGGATAGTTACAGCCCAGGAGTCAGGAACCTGGTCACCTCTGGCTTTGAGCCAACGCAGTAGGAAGCGGGAGACACCCATGAACACAGGCTGGTTACGGTGTGAGGACAGTGACCGTCAAGTTGCTTAGAGGGTCTGCAGTTCCAAATGCAAATGGACAATTGGATTTCCCCTTTGAGATGGGCAGCTCTAGAGCCCAGCTAAGGACCAGGGAAGAAATAAAACTTCAGAACCTCGTATTTGCTGTAATGTCTCATACGTTTATCTACAAATCTGAAAAGCCCTTCATGATCTTCCATTAATTTTTATTAGAGACATATTTCCTTTGTTTTATGGATGAAGGAATTGGGGCCCGGAAATATAATGACTTTAAATAATCCAAAGCGCCCTTTGCTCTTTGGCTCCACCATCATTGCCCCTAGATCATTAACTGGGAGGAATTGTGCACCACAGCCATCTGGCTTCTTTAGGGACCAGCGTGTGCAGACCTCAACGCTGCGGGCGAGCTGCGGGTCCTCTCAGGCTGGGGCACATGGGGACACGTGACCGTGCTCGAGTGTACAGTATGCACAGGTCACTTAAAATGACATTGGATGGAGGTGGGGTGAGCACGATACACACCATTGGAGCGTCAGTCAAGGAAAATCCAGCCTATTTTATTTCTAGGTGGAAAAGTGACAGTAATTAAGCAGCACGTTTGGAGAGGTGATGACGAAAAATGAAAAGTTTGCCAAGGTGCTAATAATTTGAGAGCGATCTGGGCTCTCAGTGAGGTTCTCAGTGTACTGAAAGATAAAATTGCGAACATCAATAACAAACGTAAAATACAAATGTTCTTTCTGAAATCCTGGTGAGTATCTCTTTAAATCTGTATGTCATGTGATTGGAGCTGACACTAAAAGCTGCTTTTGTAGCTTTTGGTGAATATGAGGCCTGGACCAAGCAGGGGACTATTTGATCTTCTTAGGACAGACTCTCAGATTTTGACTCAGAACACTGGGCTCTGTCACTTTACCAGTGTGTCCCGTGGTCTCTTTATGGAGCTCTTGGAGCCTCGAGCTTTGTTATGGCTATTAACTGAAATAACATACGTACAAGTGGCTTTAAACTTTTACATGCTATTTGAATGCTGTTTTATTTTTAAATTTTATGTTTTAAGCACTTTCTAGACAAATGGGTGTCTTGCAGTACCGTCTAGACAAATGAGTGTCCTGCAGTACCGTCTAGACAAATCACTGTTCGAATAACTGTGGGAAAATGGCACCGAGGGTAGAGAGAGGAGCTTGGCACTCTAGGCATTTGGCGTCGCATTAGGATTCCTGGGTCAAGTGGGTGGAGAATTGAAGCTACTCCTATATCCAAAACAGCTATTCAGTTGAAAACTGCTGTACAGAGGGGTAGCATGGGATAGTGGATGAGAGATGGGTAGAATTGTTGATGTAAGACTTCTGGGAAGCACCTGATACCATCTGGGCAGTTCTGGTGTCCCCATAGCTGTGAGTCAAAGGGATGAGGTATACATACCCTCCATGACTGGGAATGGGATATGCAGAGCACTGTCCATGGCCACAGAAGTGTGGAGCAGAGTCTCTGTTCTCCAATATTTTGCTTGACCATTGCATGCCCTATATGTGCTCAATGAATGTTCGTTGAGTTCATGGTGTGACAAACATTCACAGACTGGCATGAGCGATGAAAGGGCAGATTATAGCCAATGGATGAAATGTTCCTGAGGACAAAAGGCTAAGAAAGGTCAGATCAAAGATGAACCACTTAGCTTGAGTTATTAGACAAAAGGGATCCCAAGATTCCTATCGGCATAAAATAAAGTGCTTAACGCTGTTGGGACCAGCAGGTGGCAGGGTGCTGAAAGCACTGGACTCACACATAGGCAACCATGGTTCGAATTCTGGACCTGGCAGCTTGAAAATCACGCCATGTGCATGCACGTGTGTGCCTAAAATCCCAAGAGGCAAGAGGTGGAGAAGGGATTGTGGTGTGGTCATCCCCCCTGCAGGGTGATTTTTCACTTTTCCTCTCTGTCTTTCTGGTGAGTACACACTCCCAATGACAAAAACCATTAAGAAAAAAAAAAAAAAAAAGACCCATTCTTTCTCTTCTTCCTTCATAAACTCACATATTTTTGTTTTTGTTTTATGTGTCAAAATAGTGAGGAACAGAGACAAGGCACTGAACAAAGGAAGTGACAACTACATTAAAGAACGGAACTCTCTCGTCTTCAGACTGTGGTCTTTATGAGGACAATGCTGTCCCCTTCACTGGGATACAGTGTTTGGCACACTTTATTATTGTTATTATTATTATTGTTTTTTGGAGAGGTTTTTGCTATAGGACACGTGTGCTTGCCAAAGAGACAGAGAGAGACAGAGAAACAGAAAGTGGGAAATCACCCCCTGGGGGGATGGCCACACCACAATCCCCTCTCTTCCATTCTCCTCTCAAGATCTTGGGCACACAGGCACACACACCCGGCATGAGTTTAAGCCACCAGGTCTGGGACTCGAACTGCGGTCGACTACGTGGGAGTCCAGCGACATAGCCATTACACAAACTGCTAGTCCCGGCACATTTTATTTTTTATGTATTTATTCTTTTAGAGAGATTTTTGCTATAGGGTGTGTGCACTTGCTGGAGAGACAGAAAGTGAGAAATCACCCTCCGATGGCCATGCCACCATCCCTTCTCTTCTTGAGATTTTGGGCATGCACACACGTGTGGACTGCGTGAGTTTTAAGCTGCTGGGTCTGGGGCTCAAATCATGGTTGACTACATGGGGGTCTGGTGCCATAATTATGCCATCTGCTGGTCCCACTTGGCACATTTTAGTGCTTAAGTAGTAATTGTTGAGGGGCCAACCCATGGCACAGGGGTAAACACAACACACTGTGATGGGGGATCCACATGGGAGGTTCCTGAGTTTGCGTCCTGAGACCTCCTCATCCATACCAGGTGTGAATATGCTTGTGACCTGGACTGGTGAGGGCTGGAGGTGGAGCACGGCTTGAAGACTCTGCTGGGGGTACCTGTATTTTGCTTTCTCATGGAAGAAATAAACTTAAAACAAGGAGAAATAGTTGTTGAACTAATGAAGACCATATGCTCAGAGGGTAAAGACATGGCTCAGTGGAACATAGCCAATAATTTATGGCAGAGCTGAGCCCGAAACCAGGGACTCCTCTATCATAGCACTGCCTGCCTGTGTTACGGAGACTCTGGGTAACAGGACTTGCCTAATTGGATAGCTGGCTCAGAGTTGGGGAATCGGTGACTTTCTGAGTTCTTCACTGGTGAGCAATGTCTGGAAAGTAGCTGGCTCTCCAGGGTTACCTGAATTATTAAAAAGTAAGAAAACTCTTTTGATCTAAAAAAAAAAAAAACTGAACTGCAGGTTTTGCAAAATGTGTTATTTTCTCATCAAGTTCTAGTATATGTTTGGGGAAGGAGACTCCCCATTGGGTATTTTTTGGTATGGCTAGTTTTGCCTCTCTAATAAACTAGAAATGCATTGAGACGAAATGTTAAGCTCTAGGGGAAAACACCAATGACTTTCCTGATCTTTAAAGGGCATAAGTTTGGGAATAGCAGTTTGGTGCAGCAGATGTAAGTAAGAGCTGGAACTCTACCCAGAATTTAACATGTGTGAAATAAGGAGGACAATTAACAAATGCATCTTCTCCTTTGGGCTGAGCTATCAGCAGGTCCAGAGCTCTATTCAGGGCTTAACTGAACTAACCTCCAGAACATCTGGTAAAATAGATTTCTCTCTCTGTTAATTTTTGTTTTGATAATTTCAAATCATCATGTTTGGTCCACTGTTGCCAAAATCAATGGGCACACAGCTTGCTCAAGGCTCTGCCTTATTTATGGGCTTTTACACAGGCTGGTGAGAAGCTGAAACCCCAACCAACGAGCCAACTCCTCAAATGAACACCTGCCCCTTTGAAGGGACTAAACACATTTCCCTGGT